ACAGCAGAGCACGGAGTTCGGCCTCACATCAGCAACAAAAGAAATGCAACGAAAAGAAGCAATGGAAACACCCAGAGATTAAACCCATTTGCTGCAAGAGCATTAGCATTTTCCACCTTCTCGTTAGCTGCCTCGCAAATGCAGGGACTGCAGCCTGAAAACGCCAAAACCCAATGGGACACGATGAGAGACACGGATACCAGCTAACTCAGCTCTCCTGCCCAGCAGCCAACACCAACGGAGGCCGTACGTTTCCATTGCGTTTGCGCTGTGCGGATCTTGCTGGCTTGGCAGGCAAAGCCACGCTCTGCAATTGTCATCAGTGGGTTTTTTGTCTTTTACACACATCGAAAACCTACTGCGGTGGTGGGCTTGCAGCAAGCATCACTTGTTCTCCACCAAGAACCGGGGCCGGGAGTGGGTGAGCTGGAGGACTCTGCGGACAGTTTCTTCTGCTCCTCTCAGGGAACTAGCGGGGGCTGCCCTGTGCCGTGAACACTGAGCCCTTGTCCTGCAGTGGCGGCACGCTCCCGGCTGCCTTCCTCGCCCCCACCACTTCTAAGCACCAGCAGAGAGAGAGGCCTGTTTTCTGTGCATATGCTCTGTGGAAAACACCCCAAAGAAACTGAGGAATTCCTTGGACTTTTGGAAGTGAAGGAATTGGCAGAAAGGAGGAAGGGGGGAAGGAGAGAGGTACAGAAGAGGAGTACAAAATTAAAATGGACTTTTCTTTTTCCCTTTTGGCTTTTTCTCTTCTTTTTCCAAGTGAAAGAGAGAAAGAAAAAAAGACAACAGAGAAAGAAAGCAGCTGCAAGGACAAAAATCCCATTTTCTTTTTGAATGGCTTCAGTTTTCTTTGTGAACTTGGAAACATTCTGCAACTAAACCAGAATAAAAGCATAGAGAGAAGAAAAAACAGAGAAACATGTACTTTGCAATTACTTGGTTATAGAAGGCAAACAGGCCAACAAATATAAATCAACCAGCTCTTGGCTTAAGCAAGCTCTTCAGCATCTTCCTATGGTATTCACCTATTTTATGTATGGCTAGAGAAGGGGTACTGATACCCCAAACACGACACTGAGCAGCTGGAGAAAACTTGGGCTGTGGAAAGCTGTGAAATTCCAAAAAAAGTGCAACTGCCCATTGCATTACAGGGAGGTTTAATTGCCTGCTGCTATGGAGCTGGCCCACTAGAGACACAAGACATCTCCTGGCTCCAGATCCCATTGTTTTGCAGCGAGGAGCATGCTTTGGTATTTGGCTACAATATAGTTTTTCAAAATTGTTAGGGGGGAAATTTGGTCTTTAGTAGAAGATGTTATGGTATTTTCTGTGGTTGCTGAAAATGTGCTGAAATCAGTTGAGATGTTTGCCGACAGGCCTTAAAACCAAGTGATTTGATGTAAGCCAAGACATGAAATCACAAGTCAGTCTGCAAACAGAAATGGCTGTTAACATAGTATGATCCAGCACACTTAGCAAAGCATCAGGACCAGAGCTGCCAAAACCTCATGCCTCCAGCATCATCCTTCTGTAGCCTGGACAACAGGGAACATTTTAATCTTAAAAGCATCTGGGGGAAAGACTACTGTTTGCTGGGTGCCACCTTCCCCACAGTGAGAAGGACTCAGCCTCCCAGCTCGACACCTCAGGGCTCTGCACTGAGCAGCTCAGCAGGTGGGAAAAGCAAGTCCAAGAACAGAGCAGTGCTGGTGGGACCCACAGACCCAGAAATGCTGTGGCAACATCAAAGACTTCTCTGTCTCTTAAACAAAACTTCAACCCCCTCAGATAGGATTGGCCCTCATTGCTCAGTGGCCAGCCTTTGCAGTCTGCAGTCCCTAGCAAGGAAGAAAAAACCTTCTGATTTTGTTGAAACATCTTCATCAGACTTACCCTCCTTCAACTCTCGATCTGGTTTTGGCATGGGTTTCTTTGCCAGGGACAGCCGGGGTCCATCCTCTGGTTCGCTGCTAATACTTGATGGGACACTGAGAAACAAGACGGAAGAGGAACATTGTGACTTTGGCCACAGGCCTCCAGTTCTGTGAATTGTGCTGTTTTGCACTCTTCAGAAATTAATACAAGAGAAAAATGGGCAAATTGGTACTTTCTACAAATGTCACAACCATACAAGTAGGAGCCTTCACCCTGTCCTGTGGCACACCATGTTTTTCTGGTAATGGGAACAATAGCTTTGACTAGCAAAGCACAGACACCACCAAGCCTGAACAGCATCACTCGCCTCATCAAACAAGTTCCCTCCAGACCATCGCTGTTTTTGAGGCGCTCAGCTAAAATAAGGTGCTTGTGGGAATGTTTGTAACAGTAAAGGGCAAAGAGCCCTAAGTCAACCTTGATGGTGTGCTGGGGTGGATGGGCAGCACCCCCGAGTGGCAGGCTGGTACCCCATCGTGGGCACATCCCCTTCACCCCACTGCAGGGACTGGTGAAGCCGTGGGTTCAGCTGGGGCGAGTGATGGCTCACCTGTGCTCATCCTGGCGGGCGCCATACCTGTTCCAGTAGTTCTGGGGGAAAAGAGAGAGGTTGTGCTTCTTAATTTAATGCTTCAGCCAAAGCCAGGATGCTACCTGCTCTGCCTCACAGCAGCCAGCCTCTCTGGTAGGGATCCATCCCCACACAACTTTGGACAATTGCCTGGGGTCTCCCAATTGAAAGTGTAACCTCAACCCAAATCGTATGGCGAGTACAGAAGGAGCCCGGCTTGCCCAGCCTTCTCTGTCCCGTCCCACCCCACCACCTTGGCAGTGGCTGAGACACAGACAGACACCACGGCAGGAGAGCTGGACTAGGCTGTGTCTGCTTCTCCTTCACCCTGGGAACGGCTGCCTTCCTTGCTTTGCCATCACCATTTTCCCATAGGGAAAAAACCAGGCCAAGACCCAGCTCCTGAGTCACCTACAGGGGACTCGCTTTATAGGAGAGGACAGCGGGGAAGCTGTGAACTCCTAAAGGTCCTCGCCATAGCAGACCCAGGCATTACCGGCTCCGTGTAGGTGTATCCGAGGCCGGCCGCAGCCACCTGCAAGAGGGGAGACTCCCAGAGGTGAGACTCCAGCTTGTGGCGCCGCAGCAGCGTTTTTGCTTCCTGAAAAGAAGAGGAAAAGGGGAGTGGGTGCACACGTAGCTTTCACAACGCACAGGCGATGCGCCTCTGCTCCAAGAGGGGTTTGCTTTTCATGCAACACTGCAGACTCCTCCGGGGCAAGGGATGCTTAGGTCATGCCTTAGAGCAAGCCCGGACACAGGGCTGAGCTGCCCACCACATTACAGAAGGGGAGGTGTTCAGCAACTCATTCGGGAAGCCTGAATCCCCAGGATACATGTCCATAGCTGGCAGAGAGTGCTGAGCACCTTGGAAAGCCTCTAAATATCTGGGAAGAGGCTGGCCAGAGAAGCCCCAGCTGCAGAACGGCAGGCGGGCTCAGGCCGGCGGAGCAGGGACCCTGGCTGGGCTCTGCCTTGGCTTCCCATCTGCAACGTGGAGCCCGCAGCCTGGCAGCGGGTGGGCTGCAGCATCGCAGCCTGGGCGCACTCAGGGCGCTCAGTCGGGGACCACAAAGCACGGCCAGCTGGAAATCGTCCATCAGAGGGCTTTTTTTTGAATGAAATATTTGTAAATAAAACACTGGGTTTTCTCCTAGAAAATTACTTTGCAGAGGAAAAAAATCAAAATTTTTTTTTTTTTACAGAAAACTTCAAAACACTGGAAACAATTAAATGTTTTTGTCAACTTCAGGTTTCTTCCTAGATTCACTTTGTGAGGAGAGGGACCATTGTTCTTGTTTTCTTTTTTATCATTTCCCTTTTCCTTTTTAGCGTTTTACCAAATTCACTTTGATTTTCCTGGAAATCAAGGAATTCCCAAGGCAATGGAAAACCCAATTCCTGCCCACCCTCTGCTTATGGCACAAGGGGAATGAGCCTCAGCAAGGCTGTGATGGGACGGGAGGAACTTCTCCTTGTCTGCATCGTGAGAAAGGCAGCCCCAGGGCCACAGATAAAGGCTGCCCGGACCAGAGAGGAAGCCGGTCCCATGGTTGTCTGACCCCAGACTAACCTTGTGACAGCAAAGCTGCTCCCCGCAGAACAGCCTAAATGCTGAACTCCAAGTTCAGTGACTTGAGAGTAATGCTGACATCCCAGCCTCCCCTTGGGAAAATATTCCTCAACCCGCTCTTAACGGAGGTTGCCCTCTGCTCAGGGCTTCATTGTGTTCCTCCTCCGCGTCTCCTCTGGAGCACTGAACGAGAGGGGGGTTTACATCGCTGAGGCACTCGGTCAACGCCCTCCCTGCCCTGGCTTGGGCTTTGCTAAGCTGAAGTCCCCATTTAAAGAAGATCCTGCCCTCCAGATTCTCCCGCACACCAGCGACTCTGGATTTGCACCCTGACGATGAGCATCACCAGCTAGTCCAGCATCTCCACACCTATTTTCAAAGTGGTCCCACTATGGGAAAGCTGCCAAGCTGCTTTTATTTCCAGCTTGTGCTTTTGTTAAAGCCTCCCACCAAGGGCTCTTAGGTGACGCTCGCTCTCACCTTTCTGGGTTTGATGGCGTCTGGATCCATTGTACCTTCTAAGAGGCCCTCGTAATATCCCGCATTCTCCAAGACGTCTTCATCATCCGGGTGGAAGAGGAGGTAGGACTTGGCACACTCCAGGGCTTTTACGTAGTCACCGACTGGGAGGCAACACAACAGTTGTCAGGGGGGGCAGAGGGGGGCACAGCCCCGCCGGCGGTGCCGGGGGCTCACGCAGAGCACGGCGGGGCAGAGCCGAGGAGGAGAGCCTGCGGAGAGGGGAGGGCACAGCCTGAGCTCTCCGTCAGCTGAAGCATGAGCACAGCACTTCACAAGGCTCTTCTTGTGCAACTTTGTCTTAACCGCTCCATTTCGCCAGCAGGGAAACTGAGGCACAGAGACACGACTTCTCCACGTCATGCACAGGTCGGACAGCACCCACATTGGAGCCAGCTGCATGGGCAGGTTGTGGATGCTGCCGGGCAGCAAACTGCCTCTTTTCTGTGCAGCATCTCTCAGGGCTCTAGGGGGGTTCACCCACCACGTTAAACCTCTAATAAGGCAGAGGAGTAAAAAAGCTGTACACCATGCACGAAACGCTGTTGACTCCTCCAGCTTTCTTCCCGTTGCACTGACGGATGAAGAAGCTTTAGGTTTGAGTAGCAATTTTGACTCACATTCTGCCTTTTTCAGGAAAGAGCTCTTGGCACAGCCTGAGATGGCAGAATTCTGCCTTGATTTTCTTCTGTGTAATGGAACGTAGTAAGATGCCATACAGGGCCACACAGCTGGCAGTATTTTATAGCACTGCCAACTCCTGGTATTTTGCAGTGTTGCCAACTCCTGCAACTTTACTGTGAATCTTAAAATATTTGGTAATTAGCAAAAATTGGCATCTTGGGCTAACCTTGTGCTAACTTGTCGATCTGTTATATATCAACTTAGAAAATGTATCAATTGGTTCTGAAAATGTGAAACATATAAATCCCCAGAACTCTAATACCAAGGGCAAATGAAAGGACCCTAAAAAAGCATGATTTATTTAAAGAATAAAGATGTTTAAGCTAAAGGTTGGGCTTTTAAAACCTGACTGATGATTGAAAACACTTTTACAAAAATACTTAACTGTGAATTTCAGTCAACCTGAAAGGAAAAGGACTTTCAAAGAGACAATGTCCAATGTCCTTTGCTTCCTGACTCTTTCACACCATGCCACTGCATCACTGTAGCACAGACATCATGGGGAAATACCCCAATTTCCACATGTAGCAATTCAAACTTGTACAAAATGCAATAAAACTCAGCAAGTGCTATGAGGAACAGAAAGACAGCCTTTACCTCTGTAATAGGCAAACTGCAAGTAGTCATAATGGAGGGGAAGGAAATTTTCGATGGGCGAGATACGGCCCGAACGTGTGGCTAGTTCTCGAACACAGTCATGTTTGCAGGCCAGGACTTGCATGTAGTGATCTGCCAAGAAAAGAGGAAGACGGTCTGAACTGAGAAGGACGATGACGGTGCTGAGACCAAGACAGACAGAGAGTAAATCTCCCCAGCTGAAGGACACGTAATTCCTACTGCTCTGGTCCAGCAGGCAACTGCGCACCTAGAGAAAGAGCTCAGGCTCCTTCCCGAAGCCAGTGGAGAGTTGCAGTCACATTTTTGCCCCCGCCTTGAGAAGTGCCTTTCTCCTTCCGTCAACTGTAGAGGGAGCTTGAGCATCTCTTTTGTGTGCTGGGAGCTGCTGCTTCTGCCCAGGAAAGCCAGAGGGGCACAGGGACATGCAGGTGACAGGTAGCTCTTCAACCCCAAGAGCCAAACCAAAGGCAAAGACACCCACAAAGCAAGCGGAGATGTGAAGACATGTGCTGCCACATGAAAGCCATCTCCACACTCCCTTCCTTCAGCTCATCTTTAACCGTCTCCTTTCTGCAGCATGAAAGCTCCTGAGGGCATGGGGAGGTTTAAATAAGAGGGGTCAGTGCAGCTTCTCAAGCATGGCCAAGCAAGGCACCAGCACCATGAGTCTCAAAGGTCTAAGGTGCAAATATTGGCAGCAAAATCCCTGTGTTCACTGCTTCTCAAAGATGAGGTATCTCCCAGGGAAACGCCAGCATGTGGTAAACATCTGCCATTAGCAAGGTTTCTTAATTGGTAGGAGTCCACAATATAGGCGTTGTATCAGCTGTATAATCCTGAAGCCAATGCTGACATCTGATTCCAGTTTGGAGCCTTTGCTGCAATGTACTTACAAATCTACTTTGCTTGCTCTGTCTCTGTACACCATTAAAAACCTTAAGAAACAAACACAGACTTGGAAAAAAAAGCATATGCTCAGCAACCAAAGCATTTCTGAGAGCTGCCAAAAAAACAGCCTGAGGAATTTGCAATGAAATCAAGTGGAAACTCAAAACAGTCCCCATTTGCTCTGGGCAGGTTGTCTGAGTAGTTATCTGATTTACCATACACATCCAGGTATTACATTAAGGAAAGGAAGAAGGAAAAGGACATAAATAATTTTGTTGTAATTTAAACCTATTTAAGCATCCTAGATGTGGAATAATCCATCACAGAGAAGCACTGCTTTTTCTTGGTACTGTCAGGGTGCCCTAGAAGCAGGCTATATAGACTGGGATCAATTCACCGAAATGCATCTGTCCCTGGAGTGGAGAGATGAGAGTGTTTCAACCCCATGTAGCTGCACAGAAAACCAGCCTGGGACTGAAAAGAGAAAAGAGTTTTGAAGAAACCTATACTCTCTTTTCTTGGTGTATTAGCGTTCCCATTCCCTGCTGAAACATCTGGGGCTGAGCGCCCCTGGTCCAGGGGCAAACACTGGAATATGCTGTCCCAGAACAAACGACTCAGTTCGCTATAGGAGAACAGTTGCACTACGCAGATTATTTCCCTCCATGTGCCCTCACTTCCCTGTTTCTTTGGGTGCCTGAACAGCCCTGGGTTTGGCAGCTGTTATTCCGAGGCATATCTGGCCAAGCCAAGTCACCGCGCTTGCAGAGACCATTTGGCTTGTTCTCACGCCGAGGTGACGTGCTGGGCTGAGGACCACCATACCATGACCACGTCTGCGCTCCACATGGTCCAGCACAGAAACAGCTTCTGTGCTCGCTGGGGCTGCACTCAGCTTGCACAGCACAGCAACAATTTAACAGAGGCTAAAACCTGTTTGATGAGCAGCAGCTTTCAGTAAGAAGGAAGGTGGGTCGCCTTTGCCACTGAAGGCTGCTCTCTTGCAGGGCTTGATATGGCCGTTGGTGTCCTGGTCATGGCTTTAAAAGCAGGCATGATGAGCTGACAGTTACACTGGTACCAAGTCAGTGCTTACAACACTACTCATACTTTTTGCGTGGGTAAATAAACCCAGCAAAGGCAGCTTCCCATCCGGTATGTTGGTGGTTTCTCATCTTGGTCACTTCAATTCAATTTCCTGTCTTGACACAAACAGAATTATGCAAAAACAAAAAACAATCTGCATCTGAGTGAAGTATTTTCCACACAAGAAGCAAAACACCAGAGCTTGATGCAACTCCAAGACCATGAGCAGATAAATAAGATTTCTGTCACCAAACAAATCTTAATTTATTGCTCTTCTTTCCCTTATGACTAATTAAATGTAATCTCATTTCTAATGAGAATGAACCATTTTAATCCTCTCTAGCTCAGAGCCACACATGCAAATCTGAAGATTACATAGCAATATTCAATTCTCTCCAGAGATCTCAGTGAAGATCATAATTAGGTGGGCCTCTGCTAATGACAAATCCATCCCTTTGGATGGGGAGGAAACCTATGTTCTGAGCCTTTTTGGCAACTTTCTTGGCCGTCTGGAGTGTGTCCAAGAGGACTCTGCTGCTCTCTTCATATGCACTGAAAAAACAGAGAAAACAAACAGGGGCCAGCAATGTCCAGATACCAGTGAGACTATGTACGGGGGAAAACCAAGGCAGTTTATGTTAAAGCACCTGTACTTCCAGCTCTTACAGAAAGCTGCAAATGCTCCACACGTCTGGAAGTGCAATTCTTCAAGTCCAGCTTCTATTCAGGACCAAAATGAGATGTTCTAGTTCCCTGTCCTCTGTATTTGCATCTTCTGGCCTTACAAGTACCTCCTGCAGCATTACTCACAGCAGCAGTGATGGAAGGGAAGACACTTCACCAAATCCAGCCAAAGGCCCAGAGTCAATAATTAAAATTATTGCAGGGCCAAGGGTGAGAACCCTAAAGATGCAAAAAATCTCACCTGCAATAGCTTCGTAGAGGCCAGCCTTATATTCCAGGTACTCATGTTCCTCAAATCTCTGCGGTCCCTCGCACATGATCTGGCAATCTTCATCCTCAGAGTAGTACCCTTTCAGTGCACGCTCCAAGAAGTCAATAGCCAGCTCATACTCCTCCTTGTCGTAGTGCCTTACCCCAGCACTGTAGTCCTCCTTCAAAGTAGGTAGGCAGAAGACAAGACCGTGAGTGGGCTACGCTGCTTGGAACACAGCATCCTGCCCTTGCCAACTGCAGGTGATTTTCAAAAGAAGGTACAAGCAGGCAGGGACAGAATGATCTCCCCTGGTACCTACGGGACGTAAGCAGTTGTACCAAATCATGTTTAAGTCCATCAATGGCCTTTTGGACCAGTGGAACCTCGTAAACTTGCCTAAATGCTCTTCTGAACATCTCCGTACTTAGGGCATCCTCAGTGCCACTGTTGGATTACGGATTATGTGAAAAAACACTCCTTTTCTCTGTTTTAACCCTCTTAACACCGAATGCCAAGGGAAAAGACTGCACTTGACCCAGACAGATCTGTCTTAGAACCTCCGTTAATTAACACCAAATGGCCTCTTCCTTGTGTCTTGTGAAATCAGAAAGTTGGGGGTGGCCCTGGCATTTGTGTTGTCCTTTCACTTTGGGGAGGTTCTGCCTGCTACCCTGCACCCTCACCAGCACAGTCACTCATGTGCATGTACCCTGCCCAGATGGGAGAACCCTGCTCAAAAGAAACACGTGAGCCAAGATCTGTCCGTCAGCGCCCATGGAGGCATCCATCAAAGGTGCCTGCTGGTGCGCGTTCACAGCCACGGATTTCCCCAGCGTCCTCTGAAAACAGGGATCATGTTGGGGAAGTAGCCATCAAACAAACAGAAAGTGCCTTGAAAAAGCAGGAGCTGGCTTGCCTTAAAGGAGAGCGCTGAAATGAGAGTTTGTTTTGCTGTGTTGTAATACAGACCTTGGCAAGAATCTCCCCATTCATAGGTGATGCTCTCTTGACCTCCTACATCTCTTCTCTCCAGACTGTCTGATATTTAACCTAGGTACCTCTTCAGCTCAGACTCACCATGTGCTGCTTGGCTTCCCAGTCAATCAAGCTGACCTTCCCTGCCGTGGTCTTGTAGTTCTCGATGTCCTGCTGTATCTCCATGTGCTCAGGGTTTGCCATGAAGAAGGTGTGAGCTGCATTTGCTGCCTCTTCCAGCTTGTTCAGCTGTAACAAGACAAGAAAGACCAGCTGAGCTGGTGGTGTGGGACAGTGAACACAGTTTATGTGGCACCCCAACACCTATACCTCTGACACCCTTTTGACACCACTGGGCTGGGCAGTGATGGGATAACCAAGGAAAACCGGAACGCAGAAGCTAAGGAAAACAGCTGAAATCAGAGGAAAGTCCAGTGCAAGGAAAAACAGAAGAGATGGAGTTCCCGAGAGCCAGACAAGTCACTTATGTCTGCAACGTGGTCTATCAGTGATGGGGTCCAGCCTCTTTTCCAGCTGCACGTCCTCTGAACTCAGCTACTCCAACCCCCTGCAAAGTCCTGGGTGGAGAGATGCTCTCATGAGATAAGAGATGGAGACAGGAGGGGAAGGCAGCTGCTGAGACTGCTCTCTCTACAAGCCTTGGAGGCTGAGATATGTCCAGGCTGAGGGCTTCTGCTTGTAAATGGGGACTTGGGACCATTTATTAAGCTCAGCTCTGTATAGTTGGAAAAGGCCAGGCTCTGCTGATAGTGGCAGAGATATAAAGAGGAGTTTATCTTGGTATATCAAGTTACTTTGGATTTAGAGATTCAGAACCGAGACCAGACATTAGTTTCACGCTGGAGAAAGCCTCCCAAACAAGCAGAAATACTAGTGGTAAACACACCCACTGCAGCTGCCGGGGGCGCAGGGAGCAGGACAGATGTTCAGGTGAAACATCTGCATGACCTAGCAGGAGAAAGGTCACTTCCATGGCTAATGCACTTGCTCCTGAAAGAAAGCCAACACCACTGAGTACTAGGAAGGTGCAGTCAGGCCCCTGGCATATGCCTGCAGGCTGAGCAGGCTCACCCAAGCTTGTTAGCCAGGACCAGGCTAATGCTAGCCCTGGCAAGGCTGTGTCCAAGTGCTCTCCTTGATAGCAAAACGCACACTGAGCCCCATGCCACTGCTCCTAGGCTCCTCCTGAGCCACTGGAGCCAGCACGCTCAAGCACTACACTGCTGTCATGGTATGGCAGCTCACCTGAAGAAGCCTGCACACTTACCCACCGGCCAACCTGACTGGCAAAATGATGAGAACTGGAAAAGATACCTGTAGAGAAGCATGAGCTTCACTCCCTGTGACCCTACACCTGAAGCAGGGCAGAGAGGCCATGTGAGGTGAGGCCATGGCTGCCCTCAAAACTCTGCTCATCCCTGGGAGACAACAGCGGCTTCCTTGGGCTCCTTAACGCTGGATTAATACTTGCATGCACTCAATGAGCATCAGTTATAGCTTGCCTTTCAGCCAAGCCATGAGAAACACCCAAAACCGCTTTCAGTGAGCCCCCATGAACCGCCTAGTACTCTGCATTTCTCAGGGGCTCAGGGAGGGCATACAAGCACTCACCACCAGCCAGGCAAATAATAACTAGTTTCACCTCTGACATACGATTATCTTCAGAGATGTGGCTGAACTGTCAATTGTCTGAGCAGCCACCTCGTCAGGAAGTTGCTTGTTACCCCAGCAAAAGTGTTTGCAACCACCTTTAAAATTAAAATACACATCCAATAACACATGAACTCCTGTTGAACCAAGTGGGATTGACGTCTGGGTGAAATCACAGGGCCTCCTCCTTGAGGGATGCCCCTGCGTATGTATATCCTATGGCAATTTTGCGTGCATGGCTTGTGAAAGCTTTGTGGTGATACTAATAACTGATAACTGTTGCTTGAAGTGTATAAATATTTTCTGCGTGTTAACTGAGGCGTGCTAGCTTTGTGGGCCTACCAGCTAGCACCCAACTCTGTGCAGATTTGCAATAAAAGCAAATATCTCGGCTCTGTGTGTTTTTTCGGCTCTCTCCACACCGGGTGGAAGAACCCATACTTGGGACATCACTAAAGGAAAAAAGGTGAAGGATTTGCCCAGGCCACTGCAGTAACAGCATGGAAAAAAGTTCTTTTTTCTGTCAAAGGCTGCTCTGAGCAGGAATAGCTGGAGTGGGGCAAGAGCAACAGCTTCGATTCCG